TGAATGTGACTGATAATATTAAAACCCTATATACAACATAATTTTTCATAAACAACCAACAAAAAAATAAATTAAACTTCTAACACCAACATAAACATGAATATTAGATTAAGTAGAACATTTAGTCGTCAATATTTCTTTGTGTTAAGTAAATATTGATGTGAAACTGAATTGTGCCAGTTATAGTATTTATGATACCTTTTGAAGTTCAGAATAAAATTTACTTGTTTCATTACTGTTAATGGTGATGTTTGCTCAGTTGCTACCAGCTTGTTTGGAAGCAGTGTTAAAAACAATAACAAAAGCATAAAAAATTTCTGCAGTTTCAAAAATAAAACTGCCAAAATCTTCAATTGCGAAACTTTTGAATCTCGAAACTTGGTGATCGAATCTCGAAACCGAAACTTTTCTTAAATTTTGATGGTTTTGAGATTTGAGATTCGGTTTTGACACATCACTAATGTCGACTGAATACTTTCCCTCTAATTTCATGGTATTGTTCAATGTTTTCTTAACTCCTTAAGTAACAAAGTGATTATAACCAACCGCACAATTATAGAACAAGCAAAACTTTATAAAAATTGTTCTTTTTTTTTGGTTAAGTACACGTTTCAAAGTAGTTCAAAATTATAAAATAAATAGTAAACAACAAAACATAATTACTGGGACCGAATGAAATATACCTTAGAATTATTGTTTTCAACTGATCCAAAAGAAAAACAAATCGGTGCTTAATCTATGGGTTAACCAACCATCGATGGAGCTTAGGAGTTGGCTGGTCTACTGATAGAGCGTGAGACTTTGGTCGGCGAGTCCCAGGTTCAAATCCTGCCAATCACTAATATATGTTCAAGTGATAATGCCGTGAACCTCTAGGTACAGACAAGAGAAGTAATATATCGAAGTATCAAGTACCGGTAAGTAGTATAGCGGATGTGAAGATGGCACATAAGCACCAACCGTGGACGTAGGCCTACAAAGAAGAAAGAGATTTTTTATTTTTTGTAACTTACAACCCTGCCAGTGCGGGATCATACAAATTGTGCTATGGAGTATTTTACTTAGTATCCTTCCTACGTGAAGGCGAATTATACGAAACACTACTCCTCCATTAATAATGGACGGATTTTTACAAGCAATGTTTCAAAATTAATTTTTTTTGAGTAGACGCTCCCTTTCACCAATTTCTGTAATACAAGTCCTCAGGCTTTGTCCCACAGGCCATCAAAATCCCAATGTATTTCTTACTAGCAGAGCACCCGTCCTTCGTACGGGGTTGGCATATAAGTATAAAATGCTTATTGCAGTTATACTCAAGCTTTGCGTTTTCAATTGGGGGAGGATACAGTTTGATAAAATTTGGTTCATAAATTTATGGTATGATATAATATAACACATCTACCATTGTCATAATGTTCTACCACTGCACCTAAACAATAGAAAAAAATAAATTATCAAACATTTGCACAATATTTCAAATTATTTATTAAATTAAAAACTCAAACCTAATATAACTGTAATTAAACAATCCTTCTTTGACAGTTCTCATTGTGTATCACAGCCTTTTGTTGCTGCTTTGTTCAAATTAGCTGTTGTCATATATGCAAAAACAAAATAATAATAGTGCTGCACCCTGTTGGGAAACCTTATAACTTTTTAATGCTATTGCATATTATAGAACCAACTTTTAAAGTTGAAACAGCTGACTAAATTCTTTAATTCCCTTTAAATATGAATACTCATAAGGTTAACATGGGGAACTACAGAGCCACTGGGGCGGAACCCGAAAGCATTTTTGAGATAAGAATATGCCTAAATGTTAATAGGGAATGTGAGCTATCATCATGCAAAATTTCAGCCAAATCCATCCAGTAGTTTATGCATGATTGAGCAACACACAAACATACACACAAACTCACAAACTTTCAGATTTATAATATTAGTAAGATGAATAAAATTTACTAACCCAGCTGTTATGCTTCGTTCTGCTATTTAATTAAATTTGTTTGATTTGTTTCTTATGGTAACACGTGGTCAACGATTTAGACTTTTGCATATATTTTAAATGCAATACACTATATAAAGTGATGATAATACATAAAGAAATCTGCATTTAAATAATCAATAAGTATGATTGAGCTTTGCCTATTTTATGTTTTCTGGTATGTATATTTTAGCTGGTTCTTATAGTAGATTAAATAAAACGAATTATTCTTTTCTGCATTCTCACTCCGTAGCGAAGCACGGGCAGAGCAACTAGCTATACTTATTGGTGGAAATATTTATTTAGGCCCTAATTACACATTACATACTATTAAATTGCATATAAACAGAAAATAGGTGAACATAATTTGTAATTAGAATTATAAGAGAATTCTACCCAAAATAGGAGAATTTTAAATCTAAATCTATATATTACGTATGACGTTTTACCGCAAACTATAACTGAACTACATGCATTTTATGAGCCAACATTCAAGGTTGGTAACCCTGATGACAACCCGTATTGGGCCTCAACTGGCTGATTGATTGGTAACAGTGGCAGAAACAGGTGTTATCAATTACGTTTAACCCAGAATGTTTCGGTTCGTCTCTATTTTACAGCTTGAAAAATATTTCATTGCAATAGGTACATTATTATTGGCTCGTTGACGTCCGTAGAGAAATTTATCTCCCCTAAATAACTGGCTAGCAGCATTAAATTGGGCTACTAGGACCTTTTTCCTTAATACTACCACTTCCTTCATTCATGTTTGTTGTATAATTGTCTACAAATCCTACTTTTATTGGATTAGGTCAGAATAAAGACATAATTTATAACTTTTATTGTGTATTAAATAAAAACTATGGTAGGCCTAGTAAACTAACATGAAAGTACGGGTTTTATTCCCAAAGTAAATATTTTTTTTTAATTTATAAACACAAGTTTCTAACTTTAATTTTCTTGCCCTTTATTATTTTACCCTTTATTGATATTTGAAGAATCAATACTAAATTTTGAATTCTTATAAGAGTGAAAATTTAAAAACGTACGTTTTCAGGAAAAGCACTTTGCAAATTTTTTCCCCTTTTTTTCAAAACTTATATTATTATTTTTATTTCATTAACATTTGAAGTTTCATAAAATGTCCATGGTAACGCAATATCTTTGGTATTTTTTTTTTAAAAGAGCATCTTTAGTGGAAAAACACAAAATCCTGTCACGACCATAACAGACGTTTAAATGAATATTAAAAATAGTTAATATTATTTTTATAACTATGTTTTGTTATAAACTAATTTACTTTAATGACCATTATACAATAAAAAGGTCACTGAGCTTTTGGTATATTTGGTCTTTCTATAAAAAAATAAAAAAACTCAAAAAATTGAAAAAAAGCCAATAAAGTCTTTTTAAGTTTGTATATCTCCGAAAAAACTTACTTGAGACCCGAAAAATCGTTATGTTTGTATAGAGGTGTGCTTCTTTTGTGTATAAAACATTGAAATATGACGATATTTTAATTTTTGAAATTTTTATGATAGAAATCATAAACGTGATGGTCAGGGACAAGCGGTACGGTCGTGAATTTTCTGAAATAATCTAAATCTTTCTAAAAAATCCTTCAATTATACTGTTAGTTATAATAAAAATAAGTGTTTCAATTGAACTAAACTGTTCAAATTACAATTATATTAAAGTTATTGTCACGACCAAACACACTATAATCCATAAGGCTGGATTGGTCGTGAAACTTTGGTCGTGAAATTACGTGTTATTTGGCTCTGTTCTGGCGGTAGCCCTGCACCTCATGTTCGAGGATACAAAGTGAACTTCTAGGTTAATCTAGCAATTGAAATATCTTATAAACAAAAATTAACACCATGCCTACTTCATCGAATGACTACTTACGGTCATGGACACACCAAAATTACAAAAAACACAATCTTTCCTTTATTAATCTTGTAATTCCTCCTTTCAACTCGAAACGACTGGCACTACAATCCTGACGTACACCCCGAACTAGTCTCTAAAACCAACTGACTCAATCGACACCAGGCTTGCCACTGTCGTGCTCCAAAGTTGAAAATTTTTCCCAAATGGTCGTGACGCCAAATCGAGGGACAGACTTATTTTGTCATGGTAGTCAGTTTGCAATGACAATAAAATTATAATATGCTCCTTTTTTGTAAGTTTAATAACCATTGATGACATAAAAATATGGCTTTATATATTTCGGCATGAATAATTAGTCTAAAAACAGCGTGAAAGTTGGAAAATGTACCCTAGGGACACGTCATGGTCGTGAATTTCGAGACTTTAAAAATACGAAAAAAATACCTAGAACCTATTTAAAACCAAATAAATGTGTGTAACATGTTGCCCCCGTCCCAAAAAATATTAAAACACATAATAATATACTACAAATCCAGTATCTACGAAGTAAAAGGCCAGGGACATGAAAACGTACGTTTTTAAATTTTCACTCATAAACGTATCCTTTATAAGATACGTTTATTAACAACAATGCATGTAAATGTCAATATTTACTTATCAGCCTATTTACAGTATTTGTTTTTTTGAAAAGCATCATTGCTTTGTCATTTGCATTATTTGTTATCAATGAAGCCACACGACCATATGAACGAGGCTTGAATAAAAGCCAGCTTCCCTACAAGTAAATTCCACTACACCTAACATTCCAAAGAGAGATTTTATTGACAACTTTATGTTATTGATAAGGCTGAGACAACTGACATCCGAATGTCTAGGAATTCCAGCCTTAACAGTAACGCCACGACCAATTTCTCAAAACTATGCTAGAGGGTTATTCATTGGCACAGTAAAATGCTAAGATGACCGATGTGGCAAAGGACTTGAGAGTAACCGTCGATTTCGACGGGTTTCACCTAGTAGTAACTAAAACTTTGTATGAGTTTGAAAACGTTTAACTTAATGATTAATGATTATAAGCTACATGATTAATGGGTATGTCACTCATCTCACAAGTGTAGAAGTGCTCTAGTGCAAAACACATCCACTAAACTTCAGTGTGACCAAGATCATTGCTGTTGGCCGTGCTCTGTCACATTGAATTGTCGCCGGAACTGTAAAATGTGAGTTTTCTAATTGTAAATAGTTCTAGGTAAACTATTGTGAGTTAGGCATTTCAGTTGTTGGTAAACTAAAAATATTTTCTTAACAAACAGGTTTCAAGACTTTATATATTCTCCCCAAGAACAACAAAAATATTTTTGATATATATCGTTTTTTGGAATTTATTTTGTGACCATTGTGTGGTTTTTCCTAATGGTCACAAAAGAAATTCCAAAAAACGATATATATCATAAATGTTTTTGTTGTTCTTGGGGAGAATATATAAAGTCTCGAAACCTGTATGTTAAAAAAATATTCTTATAAAATATGGATTTTTACTTTATAACAAGCTATTTACATTAAAGAAACACATACTTTAATCCACTGCTGTAGCAGCAATCCTAATTACTCATCTCAAAACGTAATTTCAATAATAAATCTGACAAGAAAATAAATCTGACTTAAAATAAAATTGTAATGAGAGTAAGAATGAATAAAAATTAACTTTTATCACCTTTAGAATGGTTAAAAAGCTAACAATTTCTCATGTGCAAGTTCTAGGGATCTGGTTTGACTATATGCCTGATCTAGTGTCAACGAAACATTTTCTAGTAAGCGCTGGCGAATTGCAGAAGATTTTATTCCAGCAATAAATGTGTCACGGATATAATATTCCCTATTCTTTTCAGCTGTGACAGCTTTAAACTGACAGTCTTTACTTAATAATTTTAAAGCCTGGAGATATTGGTCAATAGTCTCCTCAGGTTGCTGCTGACGTGCAGATAGTTTATGTCTGGAATATATTTAATTTACAGGTTTTACATAGATACTTTTTAACACAGATATAGCATCATTATACGTACCACTTTCAATTATGTACTCGTCGATTTCCGGAGTAATAAAGTTTATAAGTATTTTGAGTTTATCAAAGTCGAATGATTGTGGTGTGATGCTGGTAACAAAATTCTAGAGGACCCATACTGCTCCGCAGCGTTAGAATAATTATAATATCCAAGAAATAATTAAATTTATGATTTTTGATTGATTAATCCAGTATCTTGAGCTTAACTGATTCAAACGTTCAATAGCTCAAATTAAAGCCTATAATTTACTGATTATTTTGAGTCTAAAACATATAAAAAACATTAACAATACTGGAGAGATTGGTTTTTAATCACAGAAAAATCTTATGAAAAATAATTTGTAATGTTCGTTGTACACCTTGCGTTTGCTTGAAACTCGTCGATTTGAATAACTAATAGCTTAAATGAAAGCCGGTATTTCATTGTTGGTTCTTAGGCCAAAATATATAGGATTATATAATAATAACTGGTGAAATACATCTTAAATTGAAGTAAGAATTCAAAAATGAATCAAATTATGTTTTTTAGTCGAGTAATACAGTAGGTAAATATATGCCAATGCTTGATGGCAAATCTGTTTGTGCATACCTTCAATTTGAGACCTCAATCATGAAAATCAGTCGGGTAGAAGATCCAAACAAACTCAGAAAAGAAAACCAAATTTAACACCCATAAGAAATACATGGGGAGCAAATTTAGTTTACATATAAACCGAGTAAGATTATAGATAAATATATGCCAATGCTTGATGGCAAATCTCTGTGTGCATACGTTCAATTTGAGACCTCAATCACGACAACCGGTCGGGTAGAAGAGCCAAACGAACTCGGAAAATATATACCAAATTTAACTCCCATAAGAAATACATGGGGAGCCAAATTCGTTTACATATAAGCCGAGTGGGATTATAGATAAATATATGCCGATGCTTGATGGCTAATTTTGTGGGTGCATACCTTCAGTTTGAGACCTCAATCATGAAAATCGGTCGGATAGAAGAGCTAATCGAACTCGGAAAAGAAAACTCAATTTTTTTTATGTATAAGATTATTGTTTTATTGTCTACAAAATACCGTAGTTAGAAAGAAACTGCAATATTTTATGTGTTGGGGTCAAAATTGGAAACACAAATTTTTACCTAATAAAATCCCCAAAGTCTGATCACGCTCGATAGTGAACTCATTTGAATAAACGTGGGTAAATAATTGTACCAAATTTCATAAAAAAGGTTCATTTTTATTCTAATTATCATATATGTTAAAACGTGACAGTGTTTTTTATTTCAAGATTCTGAATAACCACTTGACGGATTTTCGTGATTTTTGTGTTGACAGAAAGATAATTTTGAGAACTAGGGAATGTCGAAGCCATAATTTTAGTTTAGGTTTTCATTTTATTAGAAATTAAGTTTAAAATTTTAAAAAGTCTAGCAGCCGATGCTAACATTCTACTCTATCTTTTGGTATAACACCATTTGCTTAACGTAACAGTGAGTAAACATTCAGCATTTTCGACACAAATTCAGCATTTGGATGAAAATTGTAATGAGAGTAAGAATGAATGAAAAAGAACTTTTATCAACTTTAGAAAGGTTGAAAAGCTAATGACTGCTCATGTGCAAGTTCTATTTTCAAATTAGAAATTAGAAAACTAGTTACAATTTTACCATAGAAAATTCTGTTTTTTTACTGAAATTTTTAAACAGTAAGAGATAGAAAGAAAACTTAAATACATAAAATGTTTGTTAAAAAAGAACCTTTCACATGATATGAAATTTGTTATACCTTGTTATTTAAGAATTTCGAGTTTTCAGCTTTCTTTTATTCTTCGAATTTGTGATTTTTTTAAATTAGAAAATAACATGGAAAATGCCCTTACTAGAAGTTATCTTAAAGAGTAGCTCAAGAATAAGCTTGGAAAGATATTTCGCGCTGTTCCGTTCAGTAGTTAGGGTAATACGGAACTTAACTTCAAAGTCTTTTTTTTTACGTTTTGACCCACCCTGTTAATACGGTTAAAGATAATTATATTTTTTCTGCATCAAAATGATCGGGGTGATTAGACATTTAAATTGATGTATCAAACAACCCATGTTTAAATTTTAAAATTTCTCAAAAAGCACCACTACCCCCCAAATTGGGCCCTTTTGGGGCATTTTTCAAATTTGAAAATTTGATTGGATTTGGCATGTCCAAATTAGGGGGAAATGAGAACAAACAAAGTGTTAAAAGCCTTACCTTTGCACAGAACAGAAATGGACAGTGTTCAAATGAACGCCCTTTATACAGTTTTAATGGACTACTTGATTCCCGTAGGACTCGTTATTATTATTATTATTATTTTTACTTTCTCCCCTTAAACCATAGTATAGAGAAAGTATTGTTTTCGAGTTTGAGTTTTGAGTGGTTATATCCCCCAAAAAATTGGTTTTTGAAAGTGATGTCAAACCTCAGCTTAAGCAAACCATCAACGTATGAGAGCACACTCTGGACACAAAACAATCTTCCCCAAATCACAAATTCGCTTTCCATTTCATCCAAAATTTTATCAACATATTTTAATTTCAGGTACAGTGTACAGGGGCGCTACGTAGCAGTTTGCGTTGTTGTTATTTTGATCGCCTCCTCTACCCGCCTTAACTGGCAGAAAGTCTTCGGTCGTCTCGCTCCTCGCTTCTTCAACAAGGGGGCTTGGGTGGAGCAAGGGGAGCTCCCAGACCCCGAAAAAGCACTGCCACCCTCCCCGAGTTTAGAGCACAGCTTCCGCAAGGCAGCCGTCTGCACTGATGGCAACCCGTGCTCAATCATCGGCAGGTAGCGTAACTGCATCATATATACGACTAGCTGTACCCGCGGGCTTTGCCCCGTTTAACTTCTTAATTTTCAAGATAAGCTCGTTCGCATGGTTCAATCACGTCCTGGTTGAAGCTCGTTCGCTACGCTCACTCACTTTTAGGTTGGAGCTCGTTCGCTGCGCTCACTTGCCTTCAGGTTAGCTCGTTCGCTACGCTAACTCGCCTCCAGGTTAAAGTTCGTTCGCTACGCTCACTCACCTTTTGGTTGCAAATTAGCTGTTGTCGTAATAAAAAAAAAAAATAATAGTGCTGCACCCTGTTGGTAATCCTTGTAACTTTAATGCTATTGAACTTCATAGAACAGAACCAATTTGTTTAATTGAAACAGCTGATAAGATTCATTAACGCCATTTAAATATGAAAAATCATAAGGTTAACATGGGAAACTCCAGAGCCACTGGGGCGGAGCCCGAGAGACCGATAAGAATAAAAACAATTTAGTTTTCCTATTTAATGCCTAAAGAATCGGTGTACCAAATTTCAGCCTCCTAGGTAAATGGGAAGTGGGAGAATTAGTGATGAGTGAGTGAGTGAGTGAGTCAGTCAGTGAGGACTTTGCCTTTTATATATTTAGATTGTGTAGATATATAACCAGTGGTAACAGAGGATATCAATGAACACTTAAAAATCTAATATTGGTCACTTCCTTGTGACCAAAGTTCTCAAGAGTTCTTATATTTATTCTTATATTGGTTAGTTTTTTTTTAATTAATATTGATTTAAACTTCTATCTATTATTATTCCGTAAGGAATTTCATGTGCACAGCAAAACTCTTTTATTTATGAACTGATTTTGATGATTAAGGTGTCAAATTAAAGGCAATTCTCTGTAGAAGTCATGGAATAACTTTTTTCACGCTCTTTTCTTTATTAATTAATTCATTTCTTAAATGTAAACATCTGTCTTCATAAAAATAGCCTGTTTCCCTTCTGTCATTTTAATATTTACTTTTCTTTTTACCTATCAGTTTACTTTAAAATACAATGATAACTTATGAGATGGGATAGTTGATTTATGCAGTTTCAGTCATAGAAAGTAAAAACCAGTCTATTTCATTATGTGATTGTATTTTATTTTCATATAATGGTGTGTTTAACGTTTTTATAGATATCTTTATGTGTTGTGTTTTCCAAATTTTAATTTTGTTTGATTATCATAAAATTCTACCTAGAAGAAACAATCATGTGTTTGCGATTCGGCGACGTATTAACGATGGTATGATAATAAATTTTGAAAAGTTACCTATGCTGGGTTTTGAAGTTTTTTTAATATTGCACGGACAGATGCTGTCACAAAACAGACTATTTTGACTTAAGAGATCTTAGCGTACGTACAGTACAAAACAGATTTAAATTGCCAATAAAATTAAATGAGTCAGTCTCAGTCTCTGGAATAAAATCCAATCGTAACGAAGCTAAATATTTGTAAAATAATATTATAGGATGAAACTTCTATGTCCAATAAGTATGCTTTATCGTCTGTAGAATGATTACTGCGAGATATCACCAGAAGAGAAGGCGAAGCAAAGCCTTTTGGTGGAAAGGTTTTAGGAGGTAATTTCCGGCAATGAGCTACCATAGTCTCTGGTGTGATTCGCTGTGAAATGGTAGAAAATTCAATAACTATATCACCTTTATGGTCAATGTTTAAAAACATTTCACTTGTTAAAAACATGAGAGCAAATCCAAGGGAATCAATATTTGATGAATATCTTTTACGAATAAGGAATGGCCAAGAGAGCTTCCTTTATGGTCTTTGTGAGACATTGATAAGTCTTCCACCACAATATATTGCAAATAAAAATTCTCTGAAAATGCTTAAAAAAAGACAAAAATCATGCAATAATTTAACCAAAGAATGAACATGGTGACCAAATCCTTATATATAATTCTGTAAGAAAAAATATTTACCAGAAAATTGTGGACGTCTGGCGAGTCGCAGAAGGTGGGAGTGGTCTCAAATTAGAGGTCTTAACCCCAGGGACTCGGAAAAATTGCAGAATACCCATAAAGTTACCAGAAAACGAGATATAATGTAAAATATCCACCATAAGAAATGCATGGGGACTGAAAAGCGTCTGCATTCTAATCAGCTGTTGCTTATTTATTTGTAATGTTTACATTTATTCCGAGAGTAAATGCTGTTTAATCATGTTTCAAAATGAAATGTATTCGTTTATTTTTTTGGGTTTCCGTTTTTATAATGAGTGAAGTAACTAGACAGGGTAGGGGAAGACTTGCAAGACGTGGAAGAGTATCCAGGAATTCAACTAACACAAGAAATGCTGAAGGAGAACGTCATGTAAGGCCTAAATATAAAAGAAATCCACACGTTGGTTTACAAGCCTTCAGAAGAACGCTGGAAAATGAGTTGTGTGTTGTTTCTCACAATCTAGGCTAGGTCCTCTTAACAGCCCTTGCTTGTGTTGTGGCGCATTTCACTTTGCAGAGGAGGCCACAAATGGACATTTCGACGCATGTTGCCACAATGGACTCATTTTACATGCCACAACCACATTTAAAAGACGAACTAAAAGTAATGTTTTTACATGATTCTAACTTCATAAAAAACATAAGGCAATACAACAGTGCAATGGCTTTTGCTTCGCTTTCCGCTACACAAAAAGAGATTCCGGGAAATGGGCCGTAGGCCTACTGATTTAAAATTCAGGGACAAATTCATGGATATATTTCTGACTTACTACCGCGAAATGGGGAGTTGCCTTCATATGGACAATCGTGTCTAAATTAGGGGCTATGGCCCCTACAGGCCACTAGTTAATAATAAAATAGCTAAGCAACTAAATAATGACAAGTAGAATTTACTACTCAGTGGACACTTTGATTCAAGACGAGGAAGACCGGTTATATGTCCCTGATGAATTTCTCCACATAAGTTATGTTTATAAAAAGGTGGAATTGTAATTTTACTAAGAAATTTAAATCCATAAAAAGGACTGGTTAATAGAACTAGAATACAGTAATGGTGAAAGAGATTAATGACAAAGTCTTAAATATGAAAATGATTACTGCAAGTTCGGCTGGAACAAAACGAGTAAAGTATTATTATTCCAATTAAGTTTAGAATCGTCAGAGGGAAATTTTCTACTAAAAATTCAAACATCTGCAGTTCCAATGCCAAATTGCTTTTGCCATGACCATCACAAAAATTCAAGGACAGACACTTGAAAAGTTTTTGCCATGACCATCAAAAATTCAAGGACAGACACTTGAAAAGTTTGTCTTATCTGCCATAGCCCTGCTTTCAGCATGGGGGTACCGTGCTTTTGATTAACTAAACATAATGGTGAAAAAACAACGAAACCAAGGTCTTCTGGTTAAAGTCGTTATTAGAGTGTTTGCAAAAAAAAAATTGTATGGAAAGAGTTTCACCTTTAACATGTCAAATGTAAGATGTAAATGTTAACTGTTCTGTCATGCAGTATTGTGTACTCTGTTAACACGTTCGCTACTGCAATAGTACGAAATTTTTCATTCACGTGGACCAGTGACACACATATGCGTCGGCCGGGTTCCACCCATAGACTGCCGTCGCATATATGCGTCGGCTAGTCACATTAAAATAGACTGCCATCGTATATTTGCGTCGGGGTTTTAATGTTATTAAAATGCTTATATCTTTGTAACGGTCTATTTGAAGGCACTGAATTCCCTGCAGTGGTCTACAGAGATGTCTGACGCACAACTGCATCGCTTGGTCTGTGGATATAATGATTGGTGACGTCATATGATAGTTGGAAAAACTGGTCTTTACTTTTCTGCATCACTGTATGTATGTATGCAGTATGAATGCTGCACTATCCTATGTAGCTTTTATATTTGTTTAGTTATAAGCTGTTCTTGATCAATCTGTTTTTTATTTTACTTACTTTCACCTCAAAACACAAAAAATGAACTGTCGCATATATGCAACGTTTGGTCTATTTCAAGAAAACTATGATAATTTTCACTATTGTCTTCGCTGTAGACCGGGCGTCGCAAATATGCAACATTACAAAAGGTTATTAAACAAGAATACATTATTTACAAACACGATTGTAGCGTATTACAATGTAAATGATCACTGTTTTACAGGTTTTCGCCCGTGGTCTGTGTGTACTGTTATCCAAGTGACAGCCGGTCTGTGTGTAAGATTCAAATGTATACCTCGGTCTGTGGTATTGACCGCGGCGTCACATATATGCGACGCTCAGTAGCGAATGTGTTAAAACCTTTATTAAAACAGTAGCCTATTGAGTATTGACTTTTGATTTATTATGTAGTGACAAGATAAAATTGTATTTAAATTATTGAAATGGAAATGTAGTTAATATTATTAACTGGAAACAACTAGTTTTTTGTATGAAAGTTGGTAGTGGATTTTATTATTTGAGAGAAAGTATATTTTATCACCAGGGCATAAAGTGATTCTTTTCGACTTGAGTTCAAGTTTAACCACCGAGGTGATTTGGTGAAGCTTAGGTCGAAAAAAAGAGCAAGGCTGGAAGACACTTTTGCCAGTGAGATGAACTATATTTTGTCATAATTTAAGTTATCAGCCCTATTAGTTACTGTGGGAAGTAAAAATGCAGCCTATATGAGGCCAAACGACCTGCCAACAACTAGGCCTTAACTGGAACCTGGAAGTAAACCGTTTTGAAAAGTATACTTTGTGATTACCAGAGACATCTTGAAAAAGGAAGGTTCAGCAGTGGATGCTGCTGTGGCAGCACTATTCTGCAACGGGGTGTTCAACATGCAGAGTATGGGACTGGGCGGAGGGTTCATGATGACAGTGTACAAACGCGAGACCAAGACCGCTCACGCTCTGGTTGCCAGAGAAACTGCACCAGGTTTTGCTACGAAGGATATGTTCGCCCGCAAGCGCCTTTTGTCAGAAGATGGTAGGTTTTTGAATGTAATTTTTTTTTTTTTATTTTACATTCTGTCACATATTTTTGAAAATGTAGAGAGTGATTCCATGCGGTTTAAAACTATGGGTTTTAGTTGTTTCAGAATTTTGAATTTTTTTCTTATAATTTAGGTTGATACTTACTTAGGGTTTACCACTGAAATGTGGTTGGTACAAGTTAGGCTAACATTCACCTGAACTAGCGTAATTTAGAGCATTTTGTGTACTTCACAAAATTTTTGGTACTTTTGATTTCTAAAGGAACAATCTTAACCCTGGTCCTGTTACTACCTAACCTTGACCTTTTGTTTCATTCCATCATTAATTGACATCTCAATGATACAAATTGCATCTGGGCTTAGAACCATCTTGATTGGAATCAAACCAGGGACTTTCAGATTTGAAGGCAACCACTATAATCACTGATATCTAGACAATGTTGTACTCAGTATTGTGTGAGGGACACAAGGATGAAGAACTGTTATAGTTTATTATAGGATATCACTGTAAACTGCTAAAAAAGAATAGTTTTGCAAGCTTTAACTTCAAATCCAAGTGACGCTTTTGATATTGTACTGGTGGGTAGATAAATACATTGTTGCTATTGAACATATTGGTTGACATTATCAATTATCAATGGAGTTGAGACACCTTATAGGTGTGTATTTCAACCCAAATATGAGTGGAGAATGAGTGTATATATTCATTCATCCAGTATATACAAGGTGATTCAACTGTGTTACAATAGCTAACTTGTTAGGCGTTTATTTTACAGAGAACTTTAAATGAAAAACTCCCCTTATTTTTTTGTAACACTTTACGACAAGCTATTATTTATTTAAAATTTCGCGCCATTTTCCAAACGGTTGGTTGGTTGTATCTATTGTTAGACCAAGAAATTTTGTACTTTTGACAAGCTCAATAGGCTCAGAATTCACCAAAATCAAGGGTTCTTTTTTATCCTTGATTGGGCTGTTTTAAAGGAAATGTAGTTAGTTTTCTCAATATTTAAGTGGAGGTTGTGATTTTCAAAAAAGTAACCATATTTCCTATTTCAGTGAATGATAAAATTTCTACTTGTTCTAAATTATTACCCGGTACTTTAAGATTTGAATCATCAGCATTGTTTTGTGTTATCTGATTTTGATAATGATTTAGAAATATCTTTCAAATAACATATAAACAAGAGTGGTCCCAGCATAGATCCCTGAGGAACACCAAATTTTACTGGTTTCAACTCTAATTTATGATTTATAATTCTATTGTTTTTGGCCAAGTGAGTAATCTGAAAAAACTTATTATTTAGGTATGAACTAAACCAATTCAAGGAATGAGGATCCAAGCCGAGTAATTTTAATTTGGCAAGAAGAATTTTATGATCCACAGTGGCAAAAGCCTTTGACAGGTCCATAAAGATTCCAACGCATGGTTCACCAGCATCTATATTGAGTCTATCACTGATTCTATAAAAGAAACACTAGCAGTTGTGACTGATTTTCCGCTACAAAACCCATGTTGGGAGCTATCCACGAGATGGTGTTCTTCAAGAAAATGTGTTAGTTGTATGTAAACTGCCTTTTCATAGATTTTAGATAAAGTTGGCAATAGAGATAGCGGCCGATAATTTGATGGATTTTTTATGTCATTCTTTTTATGTATGGGAATAATTTTAACTATTTTTAACTGGGTTGGAAAATTTCCTGAGATAAAAGAAGAATTAACTAAGTGGTATAAAACTTGACCAAGTTCAAATTTTACTGCTTTTAGCAAAATAATAATGATATCATCATACCCACTTGAGAATTTATTCTTAAATGTATTGTAATGTAATGTATTGATCAGACTACGTTGGTGGCGTAAGAACTGTGATGTCTTCGTTGCTGATCAACTGGCGAACGCACTGTTCTTCACTAGTAGACCTAGCCTTTCAAATAGCTTTCGAACGAAGTACCGTGAAACGAATCGTTGCAGGCGGATTTGTGATGATGTCCTCTACTTCCACTATGTAATGTGTTTCAAGCTGTGAAACGACGTAGTGGAACCGAGTGTCATCGCTCGTGATGCCTGAGATGGTGAACTGGGAACCTACCTGAGCAAACCATAGACTAGGTCAATAGGCCCAGAATGGTGGAAGCTTTACTGCAACTTCATGAACTGATACATTACCAGGGTCGTCGCATTGCTTAATGTTGGTAGAGAGCTCATTTTGTTGCTCTCGTAGATTCGCCAATTGAGCTTCGATTTCTTCTTGAGACATTGGTAAAATTGAGGAAGGTATGCCGTACTTCTTTTTGCTGTTCTTCGGGATCACCAATATATAGCGATGTTTAATCTGTATGAAATAATTACATCACTATATGAACGATTATTTTGATAATGTTTTATTTACAAACGAATGAAGAAGTGTGCTAAAATCATGACATAGTTAAAACTTAACATTTTAACAATCTAGCAACAGCTGTTACATAATAAATATTAAAATAAAGTGAAGATCAAAGGCATCACAGCCGTGGTTAGGTTGACGTCACATACTCTCAATTCATACTGATACAATAGTATGTGTTTTCATAACAAATGTTTAAAGTGTCCACCCTCGTGGTCATTGCATATTCTTAGTCTTCGTCGTAGAGATCGTTGAGCGAGAAGCAGAATTGCATGCTAAACGAATCCTCTCCTGCATGTCGTCTTCTGGCGTGGTTGGCCGGGTGCTAAACACTCTCTCCTTTACTGCTTCCCATGGGCAAAAGTCTAAAGGAGTCAGGTCTGGGGATCTTGCTATTTATTTTCTTATTTTATATGAAAGCTTAACTGATATGTTGTTGTAAACAGTAATACAATATCCATGGTTATCGTGGCTTATTATGGCTGTATCTCCAAAACGGTTAGGACTATCAACAAAATTACAAGAGTAAAATTGTCTAAACATTTTTAGGGATTGTCATAAAAAAAATGAGCGGCAAAACTTAAAAAAAAAATAGCATGTTGTAAAATGTTTCAAAAAAGCTATTGTAACACTTAAGGTGAATCACCCTGTATATTCGTTAAAAACAGGGATTTTTGTGTTACTGACTGTCCGAACTACACCTCTAGACAAAAAAGTTTCTTGTATAAACAAGCCACAGAATAGGAAAAATGTTTCTGACTTTTTTTTAGGATTGAACCGGTAACCCACTTGAGTAGTAGACTAAGGGGCGGTTCACGAGCTCGGGACAATCGTAGTCCGAGCCCAGAATCCGGAAATAACCGGTATTTGGGCCGCGACTTAAAAAATCGGGTTCACGAGCTCGAGACTATATAAGCCGCGGACCAAACTGATAGGCGGCACACAATTAGTGCAGGGATAAAACCTGGTTTTAAAAGTTGGGTTCACGAGTCCAATTGCAGATAGTCCCGGCTTCTGATCATTAGTCCCGGTGGGTTCACGAGTCAAGTCCGAGCCCAAATGAGATGGTTCGGGCCCAAAAGAACAATGGTGTTTGGTCTCCAACTCAGACCTGGTAGGAGGCAGGTTTAAGGTGACATGATGCCGGTTTTATCTAATTAACTCCTTTATTTTTATTATTTGTTAAAAACTAATGTTTAAATATGGTTCCTCATTAAATTCCGAACAATTTCGGATTTCGGATTATGTAAAAATGGTAAAATGGCTCATAAAACATGAAAAAAATCATCAAACAACTTAAAACGACAGATAAATTATGCACGTAACAAAGTAGTATCATAACAAAGATATTTTTACTGATAAACCCCATGTTATTACAATTTTAACGACAAAATTATGCGTAGAATATAAATATAACTAATCAGCCACAGTTAAACCATCGTTATATAACATAATTATCAAAAATAGTTTTTTTGCCGTGGGAAACATCAAGCAAACCGTCAGTCGTTGAGGTTCGCGGTGATATCACATCACCGTCTTGTGTTGTACTCACTGGTCGCCGTGTGTATTGAATATGACTACAGTATGAAATATCTATACTGTATAATGTTAACAATTATGTACCATCACTCCACTACCTCGCATAGGATAGGACCAGCTCGTTATCATGACTAAAACCCTTTTATGACTTGATGAATTTAAAGATAGATTTAAATGTTCCAAAGATGCCATCAATGAGTCATTTGAGGCGTTCCACTCCAAGGCACGGATTTCCCTACAAAAAATCCTTTACAGTATTCTAAATTGAAAAAAAAATGTTAGTTACACTAATATTTTTGGCTGATGACACTTTTCATCGAGAAACTGGTGATTTATTGGATGTTGGTAAAGCTTGGATGGTAGCTATTTGTTTGGTAATGAAAGCAGAATAAATCAAATTTTCAGTTCGAAACGATGCCCAACGAAAAAAAAACTATGTTTTCCTAAATATAAACGCATTGTAATGAAACAGACTTTTAAAATCGTATCAACACAAAATGTATATTTTACTAAAGACTTCCATTGTCTGATTTCATACAAACGTGGATTTTTGTGTTTATAAATCAGTTAACTTAGATAGATTATCATAGGCGAGCATTGGGACAATGAAATGTTTTTTTGAGAAAAATAATCGTTTTGGACGCTTTGATTCAGCCTTTTTTCACGATAATCCTATTGTATGGAAGTGCGTATGTCAGCAGCAGTGGCTTCACATGTGTTTCCAGACTGTTGTTACTGGTTGTTTGTTACCAACGTCTCAACAGAAATTCCCTGCGAATCCCTGCCATTAGGCTCCGCTACGGATTTGGTCTCGACCTACAATGCTTTCACATCATTATGCTCTGACTCGTGAACCCGTTTTTTGGTCGGCGCTTATATAATCTGGGACGTCTGGTCGCGGACTATGAAGTCTCGAGCTCGTGAACCCCCCCCTAAGTTACTCTGTTGGTTTGTTTGGAATTACTGTTATTATACTTTATTCATGGAATAAATGATGTTTGATTTGAGCTAAGGTTGGTTACAGGAGCGCTCGCGGCAGGGGTTCCCGGAGAGCTGCGAGGATACTGGGAGGCACACCAGAAGTTCGGCCGTCTCTCCTGGGCCGAAGTATTAGAACCTACGCTAAAGATGTGCGAAGAGGGTTTCCGCATGAGTGATTATACAAGTGGCTGCCTTCCATTCCGGTTTAAATTTTCCATTTCCGATCCTAACTTGAGGTAGTGTAATTTTCCTAGGTATTCCTACAATTTGAATCATAATTTGTGATCTATTCCGCTAATTCTCTATCACTATAAGTTCTAGGTAACAATACACATCTGGTCAACAAAACATCTGCCATTTTGCGCAGGATCAACCTTTTGAAGTGCGGTTTGCGGCATTGTATTCTACTAAAAAAGACCTTTAATTTGATGTGCATATTGACCTATGCTTCCATTTAAGATTTTCTTCCGACTCCTTGTGGGCCGTCCCCCTGAAGAATTATTGGATCACTGAATATGTGTTAAAATAGAGTTTTATGCCCTGTAACTTTGTACCAAGTATTTTAGCTCTATCTGCATTATTTTTTAAAATATTTAACCGTTCCGGGACTTTTCTATCACACTGTATGTATTGGAAAGGGGTGCTGCTATTAGTAGTGCCTAGGGTGCTGATAGGGTCAAAAACGGGCCTGCTGCAAATAAATTGCAAAATTTTTTAGTTTTTATGGTCAAAAATTAAAAAAATTCCCCCGCCGCAGCAAACCTGCAGACTAAGCGAATTTCCATTTGCCTGATTGGATTTACACTAAAATGTCTCCTTTAAAATATCACATTTATTCCCTATTTAAATAACATTAGTTTAACGAGTACTTAGGTTTGCTGCAACAGAGAGGGTAAAAAGGTGTTTTTTTTTAAATGATAATAGTTTAGTATGAAATGAATGCATTTTCTAAATTTGATCAGAATATGTTCATAAACAAGCAAACTACAACAGTTTACTTATTCTCCATAAGAATAACATTGAAATTTTAAATTTACAGTTTTTTTAAATTTTCTCTGTAACCATTAGGCGCATAATAACGCTTCAAAATACTAAATTATTTGTTTTTCTAAGCTCCACAATATGGTTTGAAAAGAAAATGCTAAATTTTAAGTGTTTATGGTCAAAAACGGGAAAAACCTATTTTTACCCCATAAAACCCCCCAAAAACCCCTGTTCCCATCGTCCGATCATGCTGGTTTACAAGTTAGGTTTACACGTTTGTACCAAATTTCATCAAAATCGGATGATTTTCGCTCGAGTTATGGCGCTAACAGACACATAATAAGATAATATATATTTACTTGCAGAGTACTGTCCTTCGCACGGGGTTGGCGTATAAGTATGAAATTCTGATTGCAGTGTTATACTCTTGCTTTACGTTTGCAATGGGTTTGAGAAAATTTGTTTCTTTAAATTAACGGTATGCTGTAGTTAACACATCTGCGATAGCCATAATCAGGGTGTCCATATTCTGGAAAGTCAGGGAAAGTCATGGAAAAAAATTCTGGTCATTGAAAGTCATGAAAATAGGGAAAAGTCATGAAACGTCATGGAAATCCTCAATGATGGATGGATTTGACGGGAATCAATGCTCTAGTCGGCCGTAACACCGACTATTGTAGCATTTTTCAGAATTTTTCATAAATTTACATCAATTCAATTTATTACAGTTGTATTAGTTGATTAGAGTTTTGAATTTGTAATAGTTCAATGCAATCTGTACCTACTTTATCTTATAATTTAATTTAATATTTGTAGGATATTGTTGCAACAGTCGTGTACAGTATATTAAAATGTTACAACTTTATCATTACAACTCAAATTACAGTACAAATATTGTTATAATGTTTTGATATGTCTTAAGGTAAGTTATGTCTTTTTTGTTAAGCTAATTTTTGGAAACACTGTGAACTCAATAAATAATTAATTATAAAAAGTATACAGTAAGGAAACAAGAAAGTGGAGAGAGAACTTGGCCAGCTATGGGGACGGAGTAGACTGGGTTTTATTTTTTCCCTCCATATTTTGAATACCATATTTTTACAAAATGTATTACTCCATTGTTATCTGTAAAGTATTTTCTACGAAATAACTTGTCTAGGCAGTATTATTTGTGTGTGAATGTTATATTATAATTTTCGAGTAAAGTTCGTGAGTCATGGAAATTAATGGTAAATTGTGATGGATAGTCATGGTAAGTCATGGAAATCAATGACAAATTTTCTGTGGACACCCTGCACAATGTCCTACCACTGCACCTAAACAGTAGAAAAAAGTAAACTATCAAACATCCGCACAATATCACAATTATTTATTAAGTTAAAAGCATAAATATAACTGTGAAATATCCTACTTTGACAATAATTCTCATTGTGTATTACAGATTTTTGTTGCTTGGTTCATACGCTGTTGTCATAAATGAAAAAAAAACAATGAATACAAACCCTTTAAGTAGCAAAATGCTTATGGAGAATTTTGTCACCGAAATGTGCTTCCCACGGCGGCCACGCTATTCTATATCCCTCTCTTTCTAAGCAGATTCTTTGTCTCCCCCCTTCTCACTCAGTCAGCTTACTTGGCCGCACGCTTGTGTTAGTCTGCCTAGCGGCCGCCGCGGGAACTATTGAAAATTAAAATATTTCCAGACTGAAATTTTTACAAAAGCATTGCGCTTCTTAGAGGGTGTGTATTAATTGGCAAAAAATTAATAGTATTGCACCCTGTTGGTAAACCTTATAACTTTTTAATGCTATTGAATATCATAGAACCAACTTGTTTAGTTAGAACAGCTGACAAAACTATTTAATTACTTTGAAATATCAATACTCATAAGGTTAACATGGAAAACTCCAGAGGCACTGGGGTGGAGCCCGAAGGAATTTTTTAGATAAGAATAGGTCTATAAGTTAATCGGGAATATGAGCTACCATCATACCAAATTTCAGCCCAATCCGACCAGTAGTTAATGTGTGATTGAACTTCCAACAAACAAACACACACAAACTTTCACATAGATTTATTCATTGCTTTTGACAGTTATCTATAGATAAAGCCAAAAGTACCCATGAACTTTTGAGAAAAGTACAAGTCGCACACCCCCATAAACCATCTATATATAAAGCCAAAAGTACCCATGAACTTTTGAGAAAACTACAAGTCACACCCCCATAAACCATATACTTAAAATGTTCGTCATGACGAGAAACCTTGCGCAAAATTATCCATTTTTTCATAAATTGACCTTTAAGGTCATAATTGTTTTCCAAAGGGAACTTTCCATATACTTAATGTTAAAAATACCTCAGCTGTTTTTATTTGTATGTTATTCTTTCAATTTATTACCTTATTAAAATCTATTGTGATTATTTGTTTGTAATGCTGTATTCTGTTATGTTTATTTCAGCTTAACTTAACCAATCAATAGTTTTTTTATAATACTTGTGAAGTCAAACGGGTTGAAGCCCGTGGGTAACAGCTAGTTACTATACATAAAAATTTGAAAGAATAGCGTTTTAGTCCCTGGGGACATCAAAATGAAAAAGTTAATCGGTCCTGGACCTGGTCCTGGGGTCTTACCATGTCACCTACGGTAATAGCTACTTCCCTATAGAGAAATTCGCTAAAATCAAGAAATATGATAAAAGATTACAAAAACTTTTGTCTTGATACTTATACATAGATTAAATGTACAAGGCGTCTAAAACTACATGTTCTGGGATACTTCTATCTGTTAGTTTCTCATTGTGAAATAGTCATAAACATTATGTGGCAAGATTTAATTATTATGTAACTATTTAAACAGAAAGAAAATATCAACAATAATTTTAAAGCATTGTTGGATATTTAAGTTCCCTAGAAATAGTGGAAGAATATTAGGAAAATCGACCTAACAAATTCGGACTAAGTGGAAAACTTTGCACAGTAGTTTAGTAAGCCTAAATAAATTAAATATCAAAAGTCCCCATAAATCCCGGCTGTGCTTCAGCCGCCATCTTGGAAAATGGCGGCCAATTTTCACTTTTTTGACAATATTTCACAAACTATTGGTATTAGAGAATTTACCACCACACCGTCTGGGTTGTGGTGGTAATTTAAAATTGTATTCCTGAGGATTCTTGATCTCCTTCTTTATGACATCAATATTTCCGGGCCTAATCCAAACAAAGTTTAATCATTCAAAAACATTGAATTAAACAAACCAAGATGAATTAGATCGTGTAAAAATGGATTTTCCTACCCTTTCCTAAAAAGTTGAGCAGTATAATAATTTGCATATCCTTTTTTTAAGACTCGTGTACAGAGCCTCGACTTGTATACATCGATAGTGTTACTTTTCTCGGTGGTCTACTAATCTTACTTATTTCCTAAAAATCAATGACAAATCAGAGTAAATAAAATAACCTCATAGTTCTACAGAGCATTTTTATATTTAACGAGCTGTTAGTTAAAAAAAAAAATATGTTGCACTAAAAAAAAACCAAGATTGCAAAGATTTATTTAAAAAATCCTTTGAAGATCATAGTATTTTACGTATGTATATTTAAATAATCTGTCATCCTCTTATCGAAGGATTGAACGTATCAATGATTAGCATTATATATAGTATAAATAAGTCAACCCTTAGTATGTCTCTTAATTTTATCCAAATGCTGAATTTGTGTTACAAAACGCTGAATGTTTACAGCTGTTATGTTAAACAAATTATATTACACCAAAAGCTAGTTTAGAATCTTAGCGTCGGCTGCTAGACTTTTCAAAAATTAAAACTTAATTTCTAAATAACTGGAACCCTAAACTAAAATTATGGCTTCGACATTCCCTAGTTCTCAAAATTATCTTTCTTCCACCACAAAAATCATGAAAATCCGTCGAGTGGTTGATTCAGAATCGTGAAATAAAAAAACCCTGTTTCGTTTTAATATTATAGATATTTAGATCAAACTTGGCAAATTTATTTATTTTTTACTAAGCTATTAGTATTAAACATAAATACACACTTTATTACCCTCCCTATAGCAGTAAACCTAGTACTCGTTAAATTTAAAGTTATTTAAATAGGGAATATATCTTACATTTTTAGGATATACTTTTAGTAAAACTCCAGTCAAGCAAATGGGTATTCATTCATTTGTTAATCATATTAATAATATTTTTTTCTTATTAGTATTATGATTTAAAGCCCACTTACTATCTCGTCACTACTATGTAACTACTCAAAACCTACATGGTATGTTATTACTCTCGGTATAATTATTTTGTCGGTAAATATTAGGAAATTAAATTTTAAAATCCGGACTAAATTGAAATTTTGCTCAGTTAAGCACAGTAAGCCTAGTTGATGAAAATGGCAAAAGTCCCCACAAATTCCGGCTGTGCCTGCCTGCCGCATTTAGTTCGGATTTTAAGGTTGAATTTCCTAATATTCACCGACAAAATAATTATACCGGGAGTAATAAGTAGGCCTTCTATATAAGTAGTCACATAGTAGTGAAAAGATAGTGAGTAAACCTTAATACTAATAAGAGAAAACTATTGTTAATATGACAAAAAATTAATTTCCATTTGCCTGAATGGATCATTACTAAAAGTATATCCTAAAAATGTATATTCCCTATTTAAATAACTTTAAATTTAACGAGTACTAGGTTTACTGCTACAGGGAGGGTAATAAAGTGTGTATTTATGTTTAATACTAATAGCTTAGTATAAAATAAATAAATTTGCCAAGTTTGATCTAAATATATCCATAAATAAGCAAACTGCAACAATTTTATTTTCCTCCATAAGAATAACATTGGAATTTTAAATTTAATACTAACTTTTATAATTTATCTCAACAACCGTTAGAGATAGAGCAAACCTTTTAATATAAAAAAGCTGTATTTTTAGACGTTCTTTAACTTTTATATTTACAAAAATTCTCTAATACCAATAGTTTGTGAAATATTGTCAAAAAAGTGAAAATTGGCCGCCATTTTCCAAGATGGCGGCTGAAGCACAGCCGGGATTTATGGGGACTTTTGATATTTAATTTATTTAGGCTTACTAAACTACTGTGCAAAGTTTCCACTTAGTCCGAATTTGTTAGGTCAAATGATGATCAAAGATGGCTCATCCAGTTTGGAACCATCAAAAAGCTAATGACTTTTCTCAAGATCAAAAAGTGACTTTTGACTCTCAAAGAGCAGTGTGAGCTACTCACTTGCTCACTTGTTTTCATGGTCTATAACAAATTGTGTGAAGCCCAATAACAATTTTCTCTTCTTAACAGTAAATATTTTGATTTAAACAATAATATAACCATTCAAATGACGATTGCAGGGAATGGTTTGTGGACCCAACTGGAAAATATAAGACCACGGGGAGTCTGGTACGAACCAAAAAGTTGTGCGAAACTCTCAAAGTGATTGCGCAAGAGGGAGGAAACGCATTACACGATGGTTCTCTCACCAAGAAGTTCGTTGACGACGTACAAAGTATGGGAGGCATTATCACCGAAGACGACATGCGGAACTACAAGTAAGTGGAGTAGAGAATAGACAATAGACAATATCTTTTATTACAATTTCATCAAGAAATGTTACAGCGTCAAATTTAAATAAATTGTATAACATTGGTATAATAGGTACAAAGTGAAATGGAAAAGCTTCTTCAGTGTTGTGTGTGGTCTTGCCATGCAAATGACTCCTTTAGGGTGTAGAAAGCTTTGTCTAGCAGCCATCTCCGTAGCTTCCTCTTCATCAGCACAGGGCCTCCAATTTTCTAGTGGTCTGGTAGCTTGTTTAGTATCTTCACTCCTGCATACAGTGGTTTCTTTTCAAATATTGCTGTTCTGTGGCCAGGCAACACATAGTTCCCTGGATATCTGGTGTTGTATTCATGTATATGTCTTTGTTTAGGCGGGTCTTTGGTTACACAGTAATAAACAGTATCTAGGATGTAGATAGAAGACACCGTCAGGATTTTCAGGTTTTTGAAGGCATCTCTACAGCTTTGTTCTTTATTTATGCCTGCTATTATTCTGATAGGCCTTTTCTGCATAACCAGGGCCCGGTTAAGATTGTCCATAGTGGATCCACCCCAGACAGTAATACCATAGCGTAAATGGCTTTCAAACAATGTATGGTATGCAGTCCTCGTTGCCTTAAGGGTACTAGTCTCTTTGATTTGTTTTATGGCAAAGCGAGCTGGCCCAAATTTTTGGCAAAGACAAGCTACATGACGATCGCAGGATAAATTTTCCTCAATTATGACACCTAGATGTTTGATTTCTTCAGCTGCTGTCAGGTTGGGCATTTCAGATACTGTAGACCTTTTATTTCCAAAAGTCATTTGCTTGGTCTTTCTTTCATTGAGGACTAAGTCATTTTTCATACAGTAGTCCTGTGTCATATAGAAAGCAATATAGGTGTTTACTTCTAGTTGATCTATGTTTCTGTTTGATGTAAGCAGAACAATGTCATCTGCATACATGACCATCTTGCTGTATTCCTCAAGGTGTTCCATGAAGTCATTAATAAACAGCCCAAACAAACAGAACTGGCCCTAGGACAGAGCCCTGGGGAACTCCTCTGTTAGACGGTAGCAATTCAGATCTGACAGTGTCTGATGATAGTAAGAAAAGAATTTTTTTTCCAAATTCGAACAAAATTTGTTCGTAAACAAGCAAACTACAACAGTTGACTTATTCTCCATAAGAATAACATGGGAATTTTGAATTTAAATTTTTTGGAATTTTCTCCGCAACCATTAGGTGCATAATAACGCTTCAATATACTAAATTATTAGTTTTTTTAAGCTCTACAAAATTGTTTGGAAAGAAATTTGAAATATTGTGTTTTTAGGGTCAAAAATGGTAAAAATCTATTTTTACCCCATAAAACCCCCCATAAACCCCTGTTCCCATAGTCCGATCATGCTGATTCTCGAACTCGTTCGAATAAATGTAGGTTTACTCGTTTGTACCAAGCTTCATCAAAATCGGATAATTTTTGCTCGAGTTATCGTGCTAACGGACACACATATATATATAACTTATATTGGAGATATTGGCAATGAATAGTGAAATGTATAATTAAATTTAAAAGTTCACAAGGCCAATGTATAATAAATTATTTTAATCCACAAGCGCTTTCAGAAACTATGTTTCTGAAAGCGCTTGTGGATTAAAATACTCCTTTTATTATATATTGGCCTTGTTGAACTTTTAAATTTAGTTATACATTTTACTACACATTTATATATATATATATATGAATTTGAACGGATGGTGTTTTTGGCCTCTAGGGACCTCAAAACGAAAAAGTAAATCGGTCCCGGATCCAGGTCTTACCATGAGTACTACGTCAATAGCTTATTCCCTATATGGGAAATTCGCTAAAATGAGTGCTATAACTGTAAAAAATCACAAAATCTTTGAAGGTTATACATCAGAGTAAAACCAGGTAGTATGTGGAATTCAAATGGTCGTTTCGAGATTACAATTTAAAAGTCCTTTGATAGAATAAAATGGGTTTCTTATCCAGAAGTATTTTAGTAGGCTTTTGAATCTGTTTGTATTATTTTCTTTTTTAAGTGAAATAGGTAATTTTTGAAGAAATTTTAATCCTGCATATGAAGGTTTTTTGGTATAGAATTCTAAATTATGTCTAGGAAGGTTAATTTGAAAGTATGTGTTATATTTACTTGCAGTGGATGATAAATGAAATTGTTTTGCAAAAAATATTGTCTCATAAATATACAAACTGTAAACTACACCCAATTCAGGAAAGATATTTTTAACTGAATCTGATCTTTTAATTTTCATGATCACTCTAATAGCTTTTTCTTGTTTCATAAGTATTTTATCCAAATTTGCCTTAGTTGTTGTTCCGTAAATGGCGATTCCATAGGATATGTGGGGATGAATTAGAGAATAATAGATTGTCCTAATAGTTTCCAAGCTGCAAACCTTGGACATCAGCCGCAAGGCATGAATACCAGATAATAATTTATTTACTATATAGTTTATGTGATTATCCCAAGATAGATTTTCATCAATGACCAGTCCCAGAAACTTTTTTGGTTTACCTGATCAATTTTGTCTGTTTTTATAAAAATATTAGGTTCAAATGCTGTTATTGATTGTTTAGTTGAAAAGGATATTAGATTTGATTTTGTTGTGCTAATAAGTAGATTTCTTTCATCCAAAAACTTTTTATAGAGAGAAGACTCCTGTTTGAGGATTTTTCAATAATTAAATTGGATTTTCCTGAAAACAAAACATTAGAATCATCGGCAAACAGACACATAGATCCATCACTGACCGGGATCATCTCTGGTTTCATTTCCTTCAAAATAAAATAAAATTGTCTTTCGAATTAAAATACAATCCTTTTAAAAAATAAGACCCTTACACTTTATCACGGTGTGAGATCTGTGTTGTCATTTGGTCCATTATATGCTGTTGGCCAAGTCAGGCCAATGTTGATCATGGCAGACGATTCCCGTTGCCGAGCTAGTTCTCCAATTGGTTTTCAATTTTTTATTATGGTACCGATAGCATATCTGTAAATCTGGGTTATGGTTTAACATCTAAAGGATCTTAATATTGATGTATTAAAAAATGATCGCAAACATAGGCTATTAAAAGAGATGCTAAAATCAGAGAACATGAGGTACCTGGTCAGTTTCCCAACAAGAGTTACGGAAAATTCTGAAACCGCAATAGACAATTTTTTGATAAAAAATATCAACTTATCCAGGGTAGAGGTAGAGGGTCTGATTACTTTTTTATCTGATCACGATGGCCAGTTACTAAAAATAAAATGTCAAAATTACATAAAAAATTTAAATTTACCAATAAAACAAGAAATACGTAAATTCTCATCAGAATATATAAATCTTTTCTCAAAGCTACTTTCCCAGCAAACATGGGTTGACGTGTACTATGCTAAGGTTGAAAATAAATATGATGTATTCTACAAATTATTTGCCTTCTATTTTGATCAGGCTTTTCCAAAATTACTGGTTACAAAAAGAAAGAAGAAATGTACCTGGATACCTAAAGAGCTGAAGGATAAACAAAAGCAGATAATAGAAACAACTAAGGAGTATCGGAGTAAAAAGAGTAGGGGTTTAAAATATTATCTAGACAAAGAAAAAAGTTATATAAAACTGAACTAAATCAAGCAAAACATAATTATTTTCAGAAAAAGATTAAAAATTCCACTAATATTCAAAGAACAGTTTGGGCTATAATTAACTCTGAAGTTGGTCAAAATGAGAGACAATCACAAAATATAACTTTAAAGCAAGATTCTGGCATTGTGTCTGATCCAAATATAATTGCAAACATGTTCAATGAGCATTTCAGTAATATTGTAACTGATCTGACTAGTAATAATAATTCTGTGAATTGTGATGTACCCACATATAGTTTTAGCGATGACTTGTACATTAAGCAAAAATTTGAACTTAAAGCAATAAGTGAGAGGGAGGTGGAAGGAATCATAAATTCGTTAAAAAACAAGTATTCTTGTGGCCATGACGAAATTCCAGTCACAGTGATTAAGGGTGTTAAAAATAACATTAATAAAATTCTGTGCCATTTGATAAATTCTTCATTTGTATCAGGAATACTCCCAGAAAAATTAAAGCAAGCAAAATTAATTCCATTACATAAAAAGAACGACACATCAAATGTATCAAATTATCGACCGTTATCTATACTTCCGTCCATTTCCAAAATATATGAAAATATATGATATAAAAGCTGTGTATGTACAATTTGATGAATATTTGGAGAGTTTTAAAATGCTGGATGAAAATCAACATGGCTTCCGAAGGGAGAGATCTGTTGCCAGTGCAGCTGTATCTTTTGTTGAAACCGTGATCAACTCAGTTGACCACGGTAAGTATACAACAGGTATATTCATGGACCTTTCAAAAGCTTTTGATAGTGTCAAACACTCTAAACTTCTAGAAAAGCTTAAAATTCTGGGAGTATCAAGAAGATCTCTTGATTGGTTCACTTCATAACAAATAGGTCTCAATTTGTAGAAATATCTCATCTAACGGATAAAAATAAAGTAATGAAATCAAACTCAGCTTATAGACCAGTCAAATTTGGGGTGCCTCAAGGTTCTATTCTTGGGCCTTTGCTCTTTTTGTGTTACTTGAGGGGCATGGAAAATATGATAATCCATAAACAAAATTCAAAACTATGTCTCTACGCTGATGACTCAAATTTAATTTTATCAGCTGACTCATTGGAGGAGATACAAATTTGTTCTTCTAATGAACTTAATAACATTGGAGACTACTTACATGATCATAACTTTATTTTAAATTCTGAAAAAAACTAAGTTCATAACGTTTAAAACACAACAAAACCGAAAATCTTCAGATCCAACACTAGAATATAAATCACAAAACATCAACAGGGAAAGTTGTATAAATTTTCTAGGTTTAACGATAAATGAGCACCTAAATTGGGATGAGCATGTTAAAAAGATCCTGCTAAAGATTAATTCTGGAGTTTATGCTCTATCAAAAGTGTCTTTTTATTGCAATATAAACACTTTAAAGAATATATATTTTGCTCATTTACATTCCCATATCCAATTCGGCATAGCATTATACGGTTCTACAAAACAAAGAAATATGGACTCTATTTTAAAACAGCAAAAAAAAAAAGCTATCAGGATAATGCTCAAGCTTAAGGGGGATGATTCAGCCAAACAACACTTTACACATCTAAAAATGTTTACAGTTTATGGACAATATATATATGAAGTTATTCTTATTGCTAGAAAACAAAATTTGAGTGAAAACCCGATGACAAGCCACAACTATAAGCTTAGGAAAAAAGTGGGGTTGTTGAACCTCATAGGCTCAAGTTTTATGAAAAAAACCGTCCAATGCAGGCCAAAGATTTTTAAAATTTATCCCCAAAAATATAAAAAAAGAAACAGATTTTAATAAGTTTAAAAAATTACTCAAAGATTATATATTAAATTTAGCTATTTATTCTATGGAAGAGTTCTCCACCTCCCTGGCATAGGTAGCATTAAGTTATTTTAATTTTGTATTTCATTCTTGACTAACTAAAGGGTTGTTGTTATTATTTTACTTGTTAATATTTACTAATGTCATTGTAATTGTATTTCTTTTTATTGACACTATTCATTGTACCCCCTTTGTACAAAAAATATGAATAAAGAATATGAATATGAATATGATTTTTTTTTTTTTGAAAAAAAAGTGGCAAAAGATAGTCTTGAAGATTAAATTTATTCTTGAAATCCCAATGTAAATTATTTAAGTTACCTCACACACTAATCATTTTACTCATACAGAGCAGTATGGAAAGATCCTATCACTATGAAGCTACGTGACAACACACTGTACTCCACTCCTCCGCCCGGTGCCGGCGTCCTCCTCGCCTTCATCCTCAAAATCCTCGATGGATTCGACCTGACCCCAGACAGCGTGAGTACGCTCGAAAAAACGACAACAACCATTCACAGGATGGTGGAGGCGTTTAAGTACGCCTACGCCAAGCGCACAGAATTGGGCGATCCAGACTTTGTTGAAAAAATCGAAGATGTAAGTGTGATTTTATACTGGGTAGAGATGGGAAATGTCAATTTGCAATGACAGTCAGGAACGTTTCTTAGCTTTTTTTGGTAATAGGTGAAACCATGCCATTATTTTTTTCACCTATAACTTCCTCGTCAAGTACGTGTAGTTGATGGTGATGTACAACATTAATAAAATGATATAATTTATGTTTAAGAAAATTTATTGTATGGACAAAAAGTACAACATCAAAATAAAAATAGAAGTAGTAAGTTAACCATATTTCCTAACATATGTTTTGAATTAAAATCAATTGAATACAGATGGTTAGGTACAGCCACATACATGCCAGCCATTCGTTTTAATGCAAGGCAGTGGCGGTTAGCCCATAAGGACTCGCGGACGCCGCCCTCCCAACAATTCATAAATAAATTACATTTCATAAATAAATTACATTTTATATAGTCTTTGGTAAAATCAAATTAAAATTACTCTAACGAGTACTTTAAACAATATACAACATAAATATGTGAAATAATTGGATAATTCAATTCAGTAAAGACTCATTTTTGATCGTCGCTTGCTTTAGTAAGGACGACGCAGACGGTGGCTAGACCGCCCCTATCCCAATACATGTAAATACATGTAGTCTTATGGCAGAACAACCGAACAGCGCTGAGGGTGCCATGACGTCATTCCAATGCTTTAGTATAGGCGCTTTGGGGCAGAGTCCAAGGTTGCGCGCGCACTCTTAAATCAGGGCAGCCACCACAATCTGGATATTCTGTATTGCAAGCTACCGTTATGATGGGTAGAACTGATGTCGCACCTGTTTGTCATAAGTCAAACCATCTATCTAATTTCTAAAACTAGATTTACAATTTGCCAAGCTGCCTTAGTTTTGTTTTCTGATGTTTTTATAAAATTGCTATTCGCTAGTAATTTAGCTCTTTTTACAACTTTGTTAAATATGTTTTTATAATGCTCAACATATGTAATAAACTGTTGGTCATTACTGAGCTTGGCTTGCATGTGCAATGCCGTTTTGTTTTACTTGAATTTTTTATACCTTGAGTAATCCAGTTTACAGAGAAAGACTTGGTTTTAGAATTATTATTATTATTTTTAAGAAACTTTGGAGGAAATATAGAATTAAAAGTCAAAAGAAAATCACTTAAAAAGTTACTAAAGTTTTCATTTGGGTTCAGGACTGGATCAAATGTAAAATTAATATTTTGGTTTAAATATGTACAAAATTCATCTATTTTTCTATTTGAAGTTATTCTTTTGGTATAGGAACTTTTATTATTATTATTATTACCAGTAGTCAATATATTCTTATATTGCCCAGGGAGGCTCAGGAATATGGCGTTATGGTCAGATAAACCTAAATCATTATTCAATTTGTGGTCTACTTTATACATTTTTTTTGTAATCATGTTATCTATACAAGTAAATGAATTGGCAGTTATTCTAGTTGGCTCATTAAACTGCAAACAGAAACCATTACATTCAACAATTTCCTTAAACGTACTTGTGATTGCATCATCCTTTAAAATGTTTATATTTAAATCCCCTGTTATAAAAACATTTTTCCTTTTGGCTTTTTTTTGTAAACTAACAAGTAGCTTTTCAAGTTTGTCCAAAAAACAATTTACTTGAATTATAATTTGGCACTGTAAGGATAATAACATATTGATTTTTAATCAAAACCAGCTTCTCTCAAAAAATCAGATATTTTTGCGATTTTATGGGTTTTTATTGTAAAACAACATGCATAAACACAATAAACAACATAAACAACACTTCAAATGACAATACAAAAATAAAATGGTTTTCTCGGTAACCTATTGCCAAACTGTTTTAAACCTGCGTAACAGTATTTTGCTACTAAAAATATAGCCTCATTTAAGATTTCCTCCTTTTATTTTTTTTACTTGTGGACCGTTTTTGAAAAAAATAATTGCTTCAAGTGAATTTTTTATATAGCACTTATTTGTAAAGCTTTGTCGACTCACTTAAAGGAACAGCCTAAAAAAGATCTGCAACAAGAAAAAAAACCTGTAGGTATATTTTTATAACCTGTCCACATCCTTCGATAATATTAAAACAACAAATGAATGATGGTCTATTTTCTCTAGCGGGTAGCCACCCTGATGTCTGAGGACTTCGTTAACGAAATACGATCACAGATCAAGGACGATCAAACGTTTGAGGACCCCGCCCACTATGGCGCTGTGTTCTACAACGCTGAAGACCACGGCACAGCACACATCAGCATCCTTGCGCCGGACGGAGACGCCGTGGCAGTCACTAGCAGTCTTAGTCTCATGTGAGTGGACTTTCATTTTTTTATATTCTCTTCTTAGCGAATTGCTCATATAGGGAATAAAGCTATTACCGTAGTACTCATGGTAAGTCCTGGACCCGGGACCGATTTTTTTTTGTTTTGAGGTCCCTAGAGGCCATCCGTTTAAATCCATATATATTTATATGTGTCCGTTAGTGCGATAACTTAAGCAAAAATGATCCGATTTTGATGAAATTTGGTACAAACCTATAAACCTACGTTTATTTGAACGAGTTCGCGATCCAGCATAGTCGAACCATGGGAACAGGGGTTTGGGGGTTTTATAGGGTAAAAATGGAGTTTTCCCATTTTTCACCAGCTCATAAACATGACCAGCTTATAAACAAGGTTTCCACTCATTGACGGCGCTTCAATGGCAGTTGTGTAAAGTGTAAAGAAAAACCACAACTGCAGTGGGTGGTTGTTAAAATGTAATCAGACAAGTTGAAATTCGCTTAGTCTGCAGGTTTGCTGCGACGGGGGTATTTTAAATATAGGATGCTAGGCTCCTGTTGGGAACCGTTTTCACATTACTACACCTAGTTAGATATAGACCCAGAGGGTAACACAAATAGATAAAATTAATTGGCGATTGGCGGGATCTGAACGTGGGACCTCAGGGACTGAAACAGTGTTTTTTATCAGTAGAGGAGCTCGCACCCCAGGTGTGTGTTATTATCGTTTAATCTTTTCCACTTAAAAAATAAATCAATTACCAAACATAGTAGCTCAATGGTAGGCCTAACATAACATGTTGCTGAAAGACGAGACATTACAGGTTTGGGGTACCACGTTTGATATTTTGAATGGAAATTTTCCGATATAACCCCTCAGATAACACTTAGGAATGTTTTTAAAATTTGCACAAAAATAGAGTACCTCTGACACAAGAAATGTAAATTCTCAAATGCAAAAATAAAATAAATGTACATTGCCAGAAATTTGATTCTGAAACCATTCTGTGGACAGTTTTGGCTCAGGAGTGACGTCAAAGAGAACAGGAATCTTACTGAACAGTGGCATGAATGACTTCTCCATACCTGGCCAGAACGATTACCACGGAGTTAAGCCGTCACCCGCCAACCTCATACAACCAGGCAAGCGGTCAATGAGCTCCACCTGCCCCACGATCATAGTAGACGATAATGGAGACGTGCGGATGGTCGTCGGGGCCGCCGGGGGCACCCATATCACCACCGCAGTGACATATGTGAGTAGGGGAGGCAGGGTTTGACAATTATCTGCAAGAAAATTCTTACATTCATTATTTTTAAATATCTCGGTGGCATTTTTACATTTTTTATTGTAATAGAGTGATCCAAACCCTGGTTTTAATACTTTCTAGATTTCAAAACTTTTATCCGTCATTAGACATGCAAAGATGCATTATACCATAGACCAAGCAACACAAGTAGACTCGTCATCCCATAGTAAATTGTGAAGCTTGTTTTTTGTTTCTAGTTCATGTACGTCCACACTGATCGCTGGGGTAGACAAAATTTTATCGTTTAATTTGGTTAAATGAGTTTTTAAATAACTGAAATGACTTGAAACAACTTGTAAACAAAACACAACCTCTACAGTTGGACGTACAGAACTAACGATAAAATTGGCTTCAGCTGTTCCATTAAGATGACAAATCTATTAAGGGAGTATGTTTCATACATGATTATACATTATCAGTAACTACATCTAAATATAAATCTGTCTATAAAACTAAATTGTTTGATGCAAAGGGTAGACAGTGACAAAATTATCTAAGTTGGAAGACTTAATCAAATGAGAATTTATTTACCTGCTATCATTGCCCAATATGTATTCTATAATTATTCTCAAATACTATAAATCATTACCAAAAATTAATCGAAACATGATTAAATCTCATCATTAAATCAAACATTTACTCAAAAACGATGATACACTTGACTCTAATCTTTCGTTGAACAACATCATTAATGATAGCCCAATGATAATTGACATCTAATTCCAGTAACAATCTCGCTTGCAATCAAACCGGTGACCTTCAAATTTGAAGGCGAGCACCTTAACCACTCGGCTACCCAGACAATTAATTAATATTGCTTTGTTTGCATTTAGGCTGGATTTGGATAATTTCTTACATCTAAAGTAGAACTCTTAACTATTATTCAGATCGCCAAGCTTGTAGTTTACAGTAATTTGTTATATATCTTGTAACTAGGGAACCTGCGCGGCTCACATAACGTTGAGGGGAACTTTGTGCTTAATTGTAGTAACATTCTTAGAGTTTTTATAAAACTTGTTACAAATTGATTTTGAATATCTCTAATTGTGTTGTGAAGGTTCAAATACATTTCTGCTCTCAGTTTTGACTGATTACTCCTAATGAATCCTAAACGGTCTCCTTCAATTCAAGTGAACATGTCTAATATATGTTGCAACAAAGTTATTCCAACATGGAGAACTGAAGAACATTGTTGCCTTATTGATCTATATATAAAAAATCCAATGTATGTTTGTTTGTTTGTTTGTCCTTTATGGACTCTGAAACCGCTCGACAGATTGTAATGAAACTTTCAGGCATTATTAAGCATTATTCAAGGATGGTTTGTGTGAAGTTTGGTGCAGATCCGTCAAAAGGGCTCCGCCCCAGTGGCTCTGGGGTTTCCCATGTTAACCTTATGAGTGCTCATATTTAAATGGAATTAAAGAATCTTAACAGCTGGTTCAACTAAACAATTTGATTCTGTGATGTTCAATAGCATTAAAAAGTCAATAGGTTTACCAACAGGGTGCAGTACTATTATTTTTTTAAATTTATGTTAACAGCTAATTCGCAACCAAAAGGTGAGTGAGCGTAGCGAATAAACTACAACCTGGAGGCGAGTTAGGGTAGCAAACGAGCTCTAACCTAAAGGTGAGTGAGCGTAGCAAACAAACTTCAACCAGGACATGATTGAGCGATGCGAACGAGCTCATCTTAAAAAAAGAACGAGCATTGACATAAAACCACATTAGGACAGGACGACGTCTGTCGGGCCAGCTAGTAATCTATGTGAAGTAAATTCAAAGGTAATTTAGGTTGATTTGAGACATAACTCTAAACCAACGGATTTACTTAATAGGGGAATCCTGAACATTGGGGTGATATCAACCATTTGATGCGTTCCATTTATGAGGTATACCAAAAACTCTGGGTTACCAACTGGACAGCCATCATCTGCTTTGGTCGATTGTAACGTCTAATGCCTCTCCGGAATCATAAAAATAAACTTGACCGTAGCGACTGTAATTCCATGGGTGTTATTCCAATAATTCTGTAATGAACTTGACCATTGAATGCATACCTATAAGTCCATAATATTGAGTTTGGTCTAATATTGCCACTAACACATACCACAACAAATTAGTTGTTGAAACTTCTTGTTTTTTACTTGAATTGTCTTCATTTTTTGGGAATTCCAGTCAATAAACTTCTAATGAGTTTGTTTGTTTGTGGAACTGACAACGTAACGTCGCCGTTATGACATTCGCATCGCATTTTTTCGCATTCACATTTTGTTTTGTCTTTGTCATAAGAGCCAGAAGCTCCCTGACTGCAAACCCGGTACCCATAATCAAACATACCCGGGCCCCATGATGTAGGCCGAAGCATACGCACCGACCTTTGGCACATCATGGGAGGATGACTTAAGGTCATCAGGCTCACCGGCTGCCGAAGCAACCCTTCGGAGAGAGGGTTGCCCCTCAATCCTAACCAGGGATACCGGCTACTTGTTTAAGCGTCACTCCACCTGGGTTGCCCCAGGTACGAAACCCAAAAGGACCTTAGTGGAATGCACACACATTTAGTGCAAGCAACACTCGGGACCTATCCAATCCCTGACAGGCAAAACCCGCCATCAAAGCCAGGAAGAAGGGGACCACCAGCAAGCTGATGGGGGAACCCCAACCACCTATTTACACCACTACCCGATCGAGGCCAGTTGCTGGGAAACCAGAGGTGACCAAGGCGATAGATCCCTGAACACCCCCAGCGGGCTTGAACCCAGCACCCGATCTACTTCGTTGCCCTTCAAGCCCAACATCACTGCCAGGCCATCAGGGTTTCCCTAAAGGAGGCAGGAATAGAAGTGGGTCCCACCCGAATGAACCTATCCACCATAGGTGGCGACACCCTTTGCTCAATTGAAGTTCCAGGGAGAACTCCCCACACTCTAGATAACCATACCTTCCGGTCTCAGAGACAGGGATTGGCTGATGGAGTGCGCCCAGCAGTTGCCATCACACTGCGGAAAGTTACGCTCCCCTAGAGTGTCCCCGTGAGCTTACGGGTACTTGCCCGATTTCACCTCCAGGAAAGGCTACTTCCAAAGTTGAGGATTTGCCACACAGAATGCTGGTCGCCCAGAGCAAGCAGGCCGAAGCCCAAAGAACCATAGTCACAGGTAGATAGGAGATTGATGGCGCACTTCCACCTCTCCGAGAGCTAAACACCCGACCAACCTGGATGGAGGAATGTCACTGGAGGCTCCCCTCTAAGAGGCTGGCGCTTACCAGACGTCCATGACTATGGCCTACTTGAAAAGCCGATACCAACACCAAGCAGTTACCTCCCCTTTAGGGGCTAGGTTTTTCACCTCCCAGGACGAGGCTACTTCCAGAGCCGAGGATATGCCTCGCAAATTGTCAGTCGAACACAACAGGTAGGACGAGCCCGAAGAACTCCAGTCACAACCACAGTTACAGGTAGATGAGGAGAGGCGGCAAAAGCGACATCACTGAGAGCTAAACACCCCACCACCCTGAATGGAGGGAGTGTCACTGGAGGCTCCCCCTAAGGGGCTGGCGCTTACCAGTCGTCCATAACTGTGGCCTACCTGAAGTGTCGGTTCAAACACCAGGCAATTACCTCCCCTCTGGGAGAGCTAGGGTCCGCGTGGTCGCTAGGCCACGTACCCACGCAAGCGTGGGCCCCCTGCGGGACTCGCCGTTATGACAGCAAGAAGCAAACAATTTATTTGCATTTTTTTCTTAATTGAAGTAGAGCGAGTAACAAAAACGTCAACAATAAAAACATAAGGTCTGCCACAATTTAATCTTTACTACTTGAGCTTACCATAGCCAAGGCAGTATTACAGTTTCCACTCAAGGTTTTGAAATGTCTCGATCTGTCAGTGTTACATGTAAACATTTCATGTATGTATTCATTTGATCTGACATTGGGCAAGTTTACTTTACCACCGTGACAACACAATGTGTATATTCTTCCAAAGAAAGTGGATTGCAGAACTGGGCAACCGGCAAATATGAACTCATCTCACTGAGTGTGTATCTGGATTCCTTACTGTTAGACCAACCCTATCGTCTTCTACTCTTCTCATACGAACACCATTACCATTACCAACCGGCGATCATTGACCAGATGTCTGCATTGATCTTGTTAGATGAAATAAAATAAGATCTCTTATTAACTGTCTGCCTCCTGTTTTCAATATTTCTCATTGGAACTCAAAGCATTTTCTGTTCTTCCAACAAAACTGATTAACTGTTTACATTGGTCAGTAACCTCCTGAATTAATAACAAACATCAATATTTACTCCCAAAAAAGCTAATGGGTTTCTTTTAAAAAAACAGCTGTTTTTGTTTTAAAATTTGTTCTATGTAATTCATATGGGGAAAAATTGACCTTTGAGACCGCCTCATGCCTTTAAGAGTTGGCAGGAGTCAATAATTTTTCATTGATGTTGACCTCAGATGCCAGGCTAAACAATGGTTCTTATAGCGACGATCAGCAAAAACATGTGTTCACGTTGAAGTATATTGATGCACTGGAAGCTTGACTACTGAATAGAAAGTTTTTATGTGATTCTTAAATTTCCTTGTGAAGTGCTTTTTGGATTTTAAAAACTTTTTAGAGGTTGAAACAAAATCACAGTTTAGGTATGTGGTGTGTCAAAATAATAACAATTAAAATTAAAAAGTATATAGCAAATCAGATTCACAGTTTCAATAGATTTAAAATGTTATATTTTGGCGAGACACAGCGAGGGATTATAGGGATTGCCTTAGGTAGTCCCGGGTCCATCGGCCAACCTGGAGCTTGATAAAGTGTAATTATTCCAGCCTATACAGAATGATAAAATGCTAATTTGTTTTTCAGGTCATAATGCAATATTTATGGTTGGGAAAGTCAATCAAAGAAGCAGTGGATGCAAGCAGAATCCATCATCAGCTGTATCCAATGGAGATTGAATACGCATATGGAGTCACTTCTGTAAGTAACCTTGTTTTGCTTGGTTGTAACGAGTTAAAAAATATTTTCCTACAATTAATTGTTATCTACAAAAGAGCCACCTGTAAAATAGCGGCACTGATTAGAAGAAGTAAAAGAGCTGATTCGTACAATCTTTCATTTTGCAGCACTCGTGTTAATTAGTAATTTTTTTAATACTTTCCTGCACTAGTTTTTTACTTTGCGACACTAGTTTTCAAATTGCTACAGTTGTTTTTACTTTGCGACAATAGGTTTTGCTTTATCTACATCTTTGACGGTGTGACACTAGTTTTACTTCAATTCACTCAATTTACTTTTCCGCAATAGTTTATAGTTTGCTGCATTCGTTTTTACTTTCTCACACTTGAACAGGCGATATTGTATGGACAAGAAAACAAGTAGTAAAAGAGCTGATTCGTACGCTCTTTCATTTTGCAGCACTCGTGTTGATTAGTAATTTTTTTAATACCGGTACTTTCCTGCACTAGCTTTTTACTTTGCGACACTAGTTTTCAAATTGCTACAGTTGTTTTTACTTTGCGACAATAGGTTTTGCGTTATCTACATCTTTAGTGGTGTGACACTAGTTTTACTTCAAATCACTCAATTTACTTTTCCGCAATAGCTTATAGTTTGCTGCATTTGTTTTTTACTTTTTCACACTTGAACAGGCGATATTGTATGGACAAGAAAACAAAGTAGGCGTCAATGCTTAGTTTACTAAATAAAAACGTTAACACTGATGTAAACTGTTCTCTTTTTAAGTAAGTAAGTAAGTTCTTCCTTATGTTTTATGTTAACTATACGAAAATTGTATGAATGACTCGGACATAAAGTATCTTTACTGCACTAGTAGATTAATAGGGTTTATTAATAAAATAATTTGCATTTTTCAGCCATTAGTCAAGAGCCTACAAAAACTTGGTCACAAAATGGCACGATTTGGAGTCAGAGGCTCCATTGTATGTGCAATCGCCAAAAAAGGCGACCGCATTTACGCCAACGCAGATTATCGTAAAGACAGTGGTGATGTTTGCGGGTTAGACTGAAGAAGAGTTTTAATCGTTTGAATCTGGCCCCAATTTTTTTAAATTCAATTTTGTTAGTTTTTCATAGTAATAGACTCATCTTTTTCGTTAACACAACCGTATGTTTTCCTTCTCTTTTAAATTTTATAAACCATATTCTTTTACTTTATTTTCAGAACTGCATATATTCTAGTTTTTAAGCAAAAAAAATCCGAAATTTGCTGTTTTGCAATAATTTATGAAATATTGATTATAATTATTAATAAAATAGGTAAACACTTAATTGACAGAGCCTTTTATTTAATTGCAGATTTTCACAATACCCCTTTAGTTTAGAGTAGTTTTTCAGTCAATTTTGTTAATTCACATAATCTTCTTGATTACTATTTATTTTTTTTATATTCTGATAATTTAACTCTGACAATGCACCTATTCTGTATGTAGCAACACATGTAAAGAATGTTATGTGCAAATAAAATATGTCTATGTCGTCTATTATTCTCAGTTTAGAAAATACATTTTGCGCCTGGCTATTTTACAAGTTGAAAACACAACTTATTAGTGAAAAAATCTTGTATTGTATTCAAATTCATTTAGTTTAACAGTGTTAGTATTTTTAAGTGGACTTCCCGTGATTTCCCTAAAATGAGTGAAAACTATTTTAACAGTTAACATATCAGAAGTGTTTTTTGAAATTTGTTTTGTAATAAAAACTGTTTCATTAGTATATTTTATACTCAAATGTTTTATTCCTTTACATTCCATATTTTAATCCATCATAAGGTAAGGTCGTAACTCATTTTCAAAACTCGTTTTGCTCTCTTTTTAATGAAGTTAATGTACACAATTCGCAAAGCTTTCAAATGTGATAATACAGTAAGGTTTGTTTTATACACAAATTTTAAAGAGCCTCAATATAAATTTGATTGTATTAGTGCCTCTTGTTATAGTGCTTAATGAATTGCTATTGTGATGCATTTAATATAAGCATTTTTTATTGCTGTTGTTAATAAGTTTTATATATAAGCCAAAATCTACTGCTATTCATTCAATTGTTTTGGAACATAGGTTGTTAATTACATAAAAAATTGTGATCTTACAAAATAATGGTGTTTAAAAATTATTTTCACATCCTATATTGAAGCACAAGTTAACACGTTCGCTCAGAGGCGGATCCAGGACCTTGGTGAGGGGGGGGCGTACTTACATTTTTACATATTGTGTGGAATTTTTGCCATAGGTCATAGGTATTTCAAACAACAAAAATGTGTGAACTTTATGAGGGTTCAAAATAAAACCCATTTTTGAAGTTGGATTCGGTTTACTGGTATTATTTTAAAAAACCTGAATTGGTGAAAATTTGTTTGGTTTATTGGTTGTTATGCAATAATTTCGCCACGATCATGAAAGTCGATAATGATGTCCCCACGCGCAAGACGTGAAGATTTTGCCGCGATTGCAAAATACAATGATGATATCTTTGCAAATTGCAATGGTGGTAGGTGTTCATGTATTGTCCAGATGTCAGGATAAATTAACGAGTCTTTCGTGGGAATGTTCAAGATATTTCCGAAATCGCGGTAGACGATGATGGTGTCTTGGCACCCACGGGTTTGTTCAAAATGTTGTCTCATTTGCAAAAGACGATAATGTTTTGGTGTTCACAGAAGATGCTCAGACAAAATATCCTTTATTCAGTCGAATGTTGTCAAAATGAAAGATACTTAAGTGGAATACACTTGCAGGGTTAAGTAAGTTACGAGGGAAAATACATAAATTTGTCAATTTCTGGCAGTTAAGTAATTATTTGGTAAGAGTGTAGGCCAGGCCCAACATTATTCAATGTCAGGCCTACCCGATAGTTGAGCATTTTTTTATGTTCTGGCTGGATCCGCCGATGCGTTCGCTGCGGGAATCCGATAGCAGTCGTCAGCAGCAAAGGTGTTAAAGGAGGGAAACAGTACATAATCTCCTTGCTTATTCAGAACCATTACAACTTGAATTTAAACTTGGATGGAAGGTTGGGATTCTTTTGTCCACGTTTATCCTGTTCTTGTAATGCTACCGTTTTTCTTCAGAATTGTATACACTATCTAGAAGTATTATTATTAAGTCCTCATTATTATTCGTATGCATCTTGTGTCTTGGATCAGTTGTATTCCTTTTGGCCGTCAACTACTTATCTTTTTTCACTTATTGTATTTATTTAGTATTGCTTGATTTTTCTCTCAAATGTTTATTTTGCTCTATTTTAAATCCACAAATCTTGCCCCAATAATTGCCAGTTGCTGTTTTTATTTTGAGTTTATTTGTTATTTACTATGCGCTATTACTTAATTCTTATTTATTATGTTTCAAATGTACAGTATATTGATTATTTAGTATTACTGATTGTATAACTTTGTATCTTTGTGCATGGCACTTGTTGTACAATGGATTTTGCCGTAAATAAATCAATTGAATTGAATTGAATCCTGAATTAAATTAAAGCCACTTAGACTCAGCTAAATCAATTTTTGAGATGGGTAAACTATCAAAATCTACATATATGAAATATTTATGTATTATTCCAACAAAAAATACTGACCATTCCAGTTGTGTCGCAATACATCTTCAGAGCAAGTTCTCAAACCAAATTTTTTTTTAAACCCAAACAGCTGTTGAATTGTTGCCTGGCCCAAAGATGGATTGCTACAATACATACAAAATGTCTGCCAATATTTTTACCAGTTTGAAGACGGGAATTTCCTTCTAGTTGTTAAGCTGGAAAGCCGTTTTTTTTAATGGAACTGGTAAAGTCGGAGACCATCTGAGCCGACCCCTCGCACCGTCCCCTAACTAACAACAAGTGGAAGCATGCCCCCCATAGTGATAGTGCGAGTGTTCCCCCCACATCCATACCTATAATTTGTAAGGCTGTGGAACTTTAACCTATAATATCAAAAATTCAACAACAAAAAGACGACAAAATACAGCCATCCAAAGAATTACAAAGTGTTTTTGTCAAACATAAATTCATCAGTTTCATTATTAATACAATACAATTCATCAAATACAATTCATCAAATTCTTCTGAACTTACAATGGCAACTGAATAATTAACCAATAAAAATACTACTAACAAATAAATAAATAACAATACTATTAATAAACAACCAATAATAAATATTTCATGGGGGCCCTTTGAAACTTAAAAGAAAGTTTTTAAAATTTTGAAAATAGTTCAAAATTGTAACTTGAGGACGGGTGGTTGTACACATTGGCAGTGGTCACACTAGCAGTGGGCGGTGGTGGTAGAAGGCGGAGGGCGGCTTACTGGTTCCAGGAGCAGGGTAGCTGGCAGCCCGAAGAGGGAAAAGGTGTAGTGTCTCCCCGGGCGACCCTCTCCGAAGACAGCAACTGGTAAAAGCCTCCCATCCGGATCCTCATCTGACGTTGGCACACTTAATTCATGACTTTACAGACGATAAAAGGTTTTTGAACAAAAAAGACACTAAACGATTTACACAGATACATTTTAACAAACACACAACAGTCTAGACAGAAACGGATGACAATGACGGGCCTTCTCCTTAACTACAACCTCACAGGGCAGTTTGGGTAATTTTTCCCCTTGTAAGCAACTTAAGTTTTTAGGCAAAGACCAAAGATGTACTTTCTGGTAACAATCTCACCTGATGTGCCCCGGTTGACCACAACCAAGCAAACAGTTTGATTCAAACCTTCATGATGAAAAGTGTCAAAATTCACACCCCGTCTCAAACAATCTAACATTTTGTCACCAAGAGGTTTTGAGGCAAACAACACCAGCAATTTCATCACTAACTGGATCAGCCATGTCTGGGAACTGTGCCAGCTGCACACAACCTTAGTCCATCGGAGTAACCGAGCGAGCGGTAGCCGGAGCTGGAGCTGTTTGTGGAGCTAGCTCCGCAACAGGAGCTGGAGCTATTGGAGCGGCTCTGCTCCCGGAGCTACTAAGGCACACCTCTAACGCTGACCACTAGACCACCGAGGCCGATGGCCACGGACCGTATTGTTACAGTTCGGCCAAAGTTTCTGTGCGCGCGACCAGATTTAGTTGGGTCTAGGCGAGGGGGTTGGTGGGGGTACTTCTGTGAAAACATTTGCGTCTTGCTGCTCACTCACCCCTACCCCCAGCACTGCCAATAACCGGTACCCGTATGTTTTAGTTCGGCTAGTAGCGACCCGTCCACGCGCACAGAAGTTTTGGCCGAACTGTACGGTAATGGCGTTCCTTCAGCTAATAAGAAGTCCACAGCTGTCATCGTAGGCTCTTCTATACCTCCCCTGAGTAAATACCACCAAGGGTGTGTTTTTTCCAGGTTAATTTTTGTTAATCTAATCATCGAAACAAGCGCATTACAATTAATACACATCAAAAGGGAAGAGCAATATCGGATTAATATCGTTGAGCATAATTTACCAAAAACCGATTAACTACAAAAATGGTATAATTATGGACGTTGGAATTACGCGAATACACCATTGACTTATAGCCATTCCATTTTTGTGAAACAAAATATAGCCTACCATTGACTTTGAAATCATAGTCATTTACGAGAAACAGATGAAGCATTGACTTTGGATACTACAAGTAGACATCCCATTTATGTGAAGCAGATGTGCACTTGACATTGACTTTGAATAATGTAAGGAGAGATCTCATTTACCGATTTACGTGAACTAGTTTAGCATTGACTTATGATACTACAAGTATAAATCCCATTTACATTAACCAAATGTAGCATTGACTATGGAAAATTATTGGGCAAATATTTTATATAGGTATCTACAATGCGATATCCTGTAATTTTTGGATGTCTACTTACAGTATTTTTCACGCTGAATCCAAAAATGCAATCAGTTTTTGTCGGAGAGATTCATAAGTGGCCGTAAACGAAGGTTAAAATTACGAATCTATGGTTCATTGAGCTATAGGCTTACTGATGGTCAATATGGCATAGCTATGGATGGTAAAAGGCAATAAAAGTTTGTCATTGTCATTTAATTGTGGTCTGGATGGGTCGGTATGTGGACTGTGGAGTGAGTGAGCAGGAGAGCAAACAGCTGTTTATGTTAGACTTAATGTGGAACGAAATCAATTCGTTTTGAAACCAAATAATCAGTTATCATATCAGTTAGTTCTTATTTAGGCATGTGAGGAAGGTAGGTCGGGTTTTATGCCGATTCGTGACTGTATTAAGTGTTTTGAAGTGAGGTTAGACTAGGAAGGTAAAGGTGAGGTTATAATGAACCGACTCATTAATTTATGCTACTTCCAGACTGTTTTTGCACAATTAAATAGTGGGTGAAACACAATGAAATAACGATATCAAAAATGCGCAAGCATTAAATTAAATATTATGTATAAAATATTAAGCTTTAATACTTTTAGTAATTTAATTATAGTTAAAGACCGTTTAGGCGTTATTTTTATACACATTCTCACTAATGCTACAGTTTTACTCTTTGAGATGTTCCCACAGATGTTCGCACAGTTCCCGCCATTGTTTCATAAAGCTTTGAAAGGCGGGAGAACTATTTTCTTCTTCTTCTTACTTTTCTCCGCTTTCTGCTGCCATTCTGTTATTATTCAGTTCGGTCTGATCTTTTTAATTTTATTTAATGTTTATCTCACAATAAATAATTAATTCATTATTCTTATAATTGATAGATTATGTCTCAGAGGAGTATTACGTAAGTTAAACAATATTTGTTTTCTTATTATGTTGCACATATTCTTAAATTTCTCCCGTTTATTTAAGTTTGGTTGTGTATAGGTTATCTGTCAAATTTGAACAGAGCCTACCAACCAATATGTAGCCTATATTTATTTGTTCTAAAATAACCAATAAATTTATCAAGTTTCTTGATTATGTCATTGTAATTAATAGGCATAGTTATCTTATCACACAACGGTGAGATGCAGTACAGTATTTTTGATCAAGTTTGTTATTAAATACCAGTTACTATAACCTTAAAGGAGAAAAGTTGTGAATAGCTTTGTTAGAATATGAACAGTTCAACATTTAAATGAACCAACAAAGTATAGGTTAGAACCTAGTTTATCAATGGTGAATTTTTCAAGTGTTGTGGTACACTGAGTATTAACTAATTAACTGGTATATTTTAAATGTGTCAATTTTCATCTAGTTCAACAAACGCGATATGGCGACTTAACTTTGGAAAGGTTTTGCCTACTTTCAATGATTATGATTTTTGCCTTTTTCCCGATTCCAAATTTCTAATGTTTGAAAATTTGTTTGCACAATATGACAAAACCGCCATACA